TAAGAAATATACCGACAAGCTCCACTTACACGGCAAGCTTTGCCTCACTTTGATGGGAATACATCGGACTAATTCCACGAGAAATCGACTGCTTTATGCTTCATTGTTTGGTAGATTTTGTGAAGTTTTTCGCCTAATTCAGCTGAGAATGAATCATGGGTCTGACCGGATGAGATACTAATCCACTTATGGGGTCACTATTTGTTCGATCCCCGAGCTTCAGACTGATCGGGACTGTAATAATGCATGGGCAATTACGTCAACATGCTCCTAACAAAAGCACGTTTATGGCCACTATAGGGGGGAGGATATTGCCGAAATGCTTGTTCTCTAAACAATGCCTGAATTTTTATCACGTTTTGGTTTAGGTGTAATTTGTTAGGCTGTCACCGAAAAAGCAGTATTCACTAACTACCCTGCAAGGGTGTATGAATAATGTAGGGGCAGATTTGTTGTTCCGACGCCTTTGTCTGTGCGTACTCTAAATTCTATTTTGGGAACTCAAAAGAGAATCAACTAGCTCAATCACATCTGGGCTCCCCGTGTACATCAATGTCAGATACGTAACCGCGTAAACAAACCTAACATCACAGCACTGGTGGTCTCAATGTCTGACATTTAACCAATTCATTCCCAGTAGAACAGCAGACAAAGTGCGATCTAAAAGGCTCTTATCAGAGCAATTTCAACCATACGGTTGTGTGGTTTTCCCTTAAATTTAAAGTAAATGTTTTTATGCATTAACGAACAGTAACGGAGATCATCGTAATAGTGTTATGGAGGTCCTGACTTCCAGTCCGACCATTTCCGCCCATTTTCCCCATTTATCTACTTCCCCAAACAATCATTGGATAACCCTTTTTGAATATTCAGTGTACATTTGTGTACTCAACAGATGAAAGAGAAAGTAGAAACATTTACAAATTTACTTATTACCAAAGTCCCTAAAACCCTTGCACTAGACGGCTAGGAGAACATTGTGCGGGAGAGTAAAATTGCACACCTAATCAACTGTCTTATAAAGATGAACATTTTCAAAAAGGCACTTCAACCGCGAGGAGATACATTTTATGAGAATTCACTAAAAATTTATCCTAATATGTTCGCCAGTTCGACCAGGTGTTTTGGACAATGTAATACTAAACAGTTTCGAATGGGAGCGAGGATATCAATGGTTCTCATTGTATGACTTTGTAATATTTGGAGTTTTGTATACTATATAGGATAGGAAAAATAGGCACTAAAGTTCTTGTGATCACCAGACGCTTCTCTGAAATGATGGACGAACCTGTTTACCAATCAATCGGATCGTTCATCTTTTGTGTAGCAATTTGTAAATAATGAATATGTGTATTTACCTGAATGTCATTTTCAATCAGCATGGTTCTCTTTTTGAATTTATCTCTGTCAGATTAAAAAAAAATCTTTCAGTTTTTCAATGTTTTTTTTGTTATTATTGTTCTTGTCTAACGATCTCTTTTTTTGTCAAAACAATACAGTTGGATAGGAATATGGTAGATTTGTTCAGAAACTTCGACCAGTTTGGCCCGCCTAATATTTGCACTAATCATATGGTTATACTCCGCATCCCGATAGCGTCAAAACTGTTAGCGTCCGTTATTCTTCGTAGATTGTACGAGAAGCGTGAGGAGCACTCCCGCAAGGAGCAGGCTGGGTTTTGCGCTGATCTTGGACGTATCAATCAAATCTTCACCCTCCGACAGTTTCTGGAACACCGTCATGCTTACCACAAACCAAGGATAGTTGTGTTTTTAGATATTCACACGGCCTTTGACTCAGTTGAAGCCTTTATTTAGAAATGGAGTACCTAAGAATTATGTGTCGGTCATCAAAGAGTTGTGTCGTAGTACCTCAGTCAGGTCCGATTGTAGCCTGTGGCTAGCTTTCGACACTCTTTAATGTCTCCAATGGAGTGCCAAGCCTGTCTTATATCTCCATTATTCTTCAACGTTACCAAAGAAAATGTTCCACAGGACGTTTTGTTTGGTCTATCAAACGGTGGAATCGAACTCCTCCCAAGAAATAGAGTTTTTGACTTAGAATATGACATCGCCTCGTTGGGTGACAATACACGGACATTTAAACACACCATCAAAGTGCAAAGTGCTGGTTCAAGGCTGGCAGGAGCCTGTGCCTGCACTCACCCGCAGTGGTGATCAGCTAGAAGTAGTTGAGAGCTTTAAGTACCTCGGGAGCTTAATCACAGCTGGAGGTGGGGTTGGGGAAGAGATCATATCACGAATAGCAAAATCTGTGACACTTTTGGCGCCGTCATGACATCCGACTCTTTTGAGTGAAGGGTGTACATTGTAGTATTTCGCAGTGTCCTATCATACGGTTACGAGACATGGCCCCTTCGCACTGAGGATCTTAATCGACATTCTTTATTTGACCACCGATGCACTCGAGGCATTGCTCGTGTCTGTTGGGAACACCGTGTAAGCAATCAAGAAGGCCGTCTTCGTGTGCTGGGTACCGATAGTCAATCCCAAAGTGACGTAATCGCTCTGCACTGCCTCCGATGGCTTGGTCACGTTTTGCGTATGCCTGCTCATCGTCTATCCCTTCATGCTCTTTTTGTATGTGCTGGGCAGGGCTGTAAAATGCGCCGTGACGGTCGGACCATAATATGGCCAGAGGTATGAAGAAGTTAGCCTCAACATTAGTTTCGGTTGGTGCAGTTCGCCTTCCAGGGTGGGGCCGAAGAGATCAGAATTGTCGATGGATCGAGACGGTGAGATATATGAATAACAGCAAATGGTGCGATTGTTGCGTGGTTTGTTTCTCGAAACCCCGTTTCCCACAATCGTTAAAGAACCCTAAAAATATGTACGGGGACGATGACAAAAAATTTTTCGATCATTCATTCCTTTAATTGTTCTCTCTCGATCGAGGTTTGGTTCAACGGATGTCAAATTATATTATGATGATGTAATTCAGCGGAGACCCCAAGACCACGCCATACTTTTGTTGATAGATCTCATCGTTAAACTTGAACTGGACATTATACTTGCAGGAATAAAGCAGTCGTTTTGGACATCTGAAGGAAGGGTTAGTTGTAAATTATTAGTTTGTACATAACTGCACAGGTATTTCATCGTTTCACTAATGGGAACATTCGTGAAAACGAGCTAACCTCAAACCAGAGACTTATTTGGTCAAAAATAGTTGTGACAAGTTTTGTTCACAGAAGCACATATGTCTTTATTCTCTCAAGAAAATTTTATTCATAGGAAGTGATAATGTATTGATATGAATACGAATCATTGTCCCTAAATGGTTTACAATAATAAAAACCAAATAAATTCGGTGAATATCTTGTTCGAAAAGAATCATAGTTTTAATCAAGAAGGACAAATAAAAACGTTTTATAAGAAGTAGTTGTCGGCGACTCAAGATCATCTACTTTGTGTAAACATCAGATGGAAATTGGCAGAATCATTTCAAGTCTCTTTCGATCGATTCAAGATTTGTTTTCTCGTCCTCTTTCACGTTTCAATACTGACTGAAATCTAGCTACTCGCAAAACGTTTCCACCAAATCAGTACAACTTTTGAATCATCGAAGGAACAAACTGAAAGTCTCGATCAGTAAAGCTAATTTACAACAAAATATGATTTGAAAAATAAGTTTTATCCTATCAAATGCGATGGAAATGTTTGTACTGACCGATCAACATTCACCATCCTAAGTTTTATACTTAATTGACAGTGTCCCACAATCTTAAATGCGTTTCAGTTTTATTGTGTGAAGTTATAGACACTAGCGTATACTTTTAATTGTGGTTTTTGATGATTAATGCTAGAAATAAGTGAAACCCCAGAAGACTTTGATCTCCCCCCCCCCACCCCACCCTCATAAAAAAATGTTAACTGTGAGTTCCCGTTCAAAATAAAACAAGCTCATATTGGACACATGAAGATTTTGGGTATCGATCTTGTAGCTCGGTAAGAACGAAGAGTTTCGCCTACAAAACCCGAAGTTGACATTTCGAGTCCCCGCAAGTATTGAAGAACAATAGTATGCACTGCCCACGAATCCCGACAAGGACGAAACTAGAATCTTTTCGCTCTCACAAAGTTCTGGATTGCATTTCTATAATAATGCATCATTTTAGTCACGTGATTCAACCGTCTCTGTCACAGTTCATTGTTATCACTATTTGCACCATTCTGTCTGGTTACAGTGCCGACGAACGTCTGAAAGAGATGCGTGATGCCATGGTTATTGTCCAATATGATGGCAGTATCACCTGGATGCCACCCGCAATCTTCAAATCTTCGTGTAAAATTGACATCAAACGGTTTCCGTTTGATGAACAGACGTGCCATATGAAATTCGGCTCGTGGACTTACGATGGGAACCGATTGGACATGACTTTTATTAATAACGAGTCACAGGTATTGTTGGACGATTACACGGAGAGTAACGAGTGGGAAATTATTGCTCGCCCGGCACTAAGAAATGTGAAATACTATCCGTGCTGTAAGGAACCGTATCCAGATCTGACCTACTTTCTTTTGTGAGTACGAAAAATTTGTTTTTTTGGTTTGTTTTTTGGTACTGCATCAAGATTTATCTTCCCTGACTTTGCCTTGTAAGTAAGTAGATAAGTAGGTTCTAGTTGCTTCGCTGCTTTTTATGATATGTTATTTAGAAAAACACTATTCACTCCAATAGTGAGCGTTTTACCATTCAAAGTTTTATTTCCACAACTCCCTTTCGCCGGTGAATAAGTCCGTTTCTGGCCATCACGAATCGAAGCTTTTCAGGAGCGGGGAGTTTCGTGAAGATGTCGGTACATGTATTGCATTGTATTGAAGCTTTAGCGAGTTATATAAAAGCCTTCAGTCAAAATAGACCACCGGTATAACTCTGGTATAAAGAGGTGAAAAATTGGAACGTCAAACGTGAAAAATATGAGGTAACTACAAAGAGCATTAGAAAGCGGAGAACGAACACTTTCCTTGTCAGTCAGTACTCGGGTAAGATAGGATATCGAAGATGCAGATATGCGAGACGGGATACGTTTGTACTTCAAACGGGTGGAAGGGTGGGATTTTCATGCACACAGGTCAACGTGTAAAAGGTGGGTGCAATCAAATAGGATATTGTCAGCAAACTTCAAGCACGCATCAACATTGGCATTACACATGTCGTCAATCAGAACAGACAACGGAACTTGGGAGACACAGCTGATCATTGAAAGGCCACGCCTGAGCAACTTGAAATCAGCCTTCAGCAAACCAGAGAAAATTACAAGGGATTAGTAAAGCGGTATATGGAGGACACATCGTTGAACGAAAGCATTCATCACCGACAAGTCAGAACAGAAGTGGCGCAGTCTTCTTATATGAAAAGAGAGAACTTTCAACCTGCAAGCAACAGTTTGGGTATGTAAGGACCAGCAAAGGTTGCATCCAAGTGTGACACCTAAGTACTTCACATGACTGACCCTGCACATGAATCCATGAATCTGGACATTGTCGGAGGGAGATGGGAAATGGTTTAAAGTAAAGATACATTCAAGGCATTTTTCAGGATTAAGATTAAGACCGGGTGAAGCGGAATACGAAACGAGGTGGGATAAGTTTGTGTTATATTCAACCAGTGATACAATCACGGTTCCAGGGTTAGACTCCTGCGACCGGGTGAAGGCATAGGCGTTGCACATCCGACTTCATTATGTTCGTTCATATTTGAATCTATCATCTGTCTGTCTAAGAAAGATGATTGTTATACGTACTGGCATGCGAGCATCATGTGTTTCTTTTTAATCCATGGTACACCTTAGTTTTCACGCGATCCCTGATAGATGATAGTAGAGCGATGTCTAACTGAAATGCTTTTAAGCGTTTCAGGTGCGCTTACACTGTCTGGTTTGACCCGCTTGACTAAGGGTTTACCGGAGTCTAACCACCGTCCCCACTGAAGAATCATCTTCCCTGAACTGAGTGTAAATGTGAAGACGAAAAACTGGTGGAACGCTTCAAGGGAACAGGATAGTCTTCCAATTAAACGAGCTGCTTCCCTCTACCCACTCCCCATGTACTCTTGAACACTTTTTGATCACCATGTATTTCCTTT